AACAGATTTCCAAACAGAGAGAAATCCAAAAAATCGAGTAGAGACCTCAAGAACTGACGGCAGCTGTTCAGCTTTTAGTTCGTTGACGGATATGTGGCGAGCCACATGATCGAACAATGGTGGAAAAATATGAAGGAGGGTTGTGAGATGAGATGGACCAGGAACATACGACGACTTCTCACCACCTGATAAATCAAAAGATAGTCCAACGAGGCTTCACAAAAGGTATGAGAGGCAGGGCTGAAATGAAGAGTAGATTTCATTTTTACCTTCTGTCGTCGTAGAACCGGTACCCATCCGAGCTAAACTTCGCGATATCCGTTGCCAAGCCTAAAATTACACTTTTCAGATAAAGAGTGCGCATATCTGAAAATCAAGCACATGCTCTAGCCATTGGAATTCTGAACAGCTACACAAAGAACGTGTTCGAGGTAAATTACGCAGGAATTGTACACGATTATCTACAGATTGCGTGCCAGCACCTTCGCTTTCGCACCTTTCACGCAATCCTACCCTGCAGTTATCGGAAAAACTAACATGAATGACAGACCATCATGAAATTTGGGAGGGAATCATAAACTCGTTCTCCAATCTACTAATCACTTTTTGTACATCCGAACTCACATTCCACGACTCGATCCATTGTGGCAAAGGTAGAAACGGCGTCACGTCATCACCAGAGCTTTCCACACTGAACATATAAAAGTCGTCAAGAACTATATTGTCAAACTCTTCCTATCCTATCGCTGTGATCTCCCAAAAATTTTTGGTTATTCAAGCATGTTTCAATTAACTTCAACAAATGCCTACTAATCAGAAATTGCGAAGATGCTTGTAAATGTCAGTTCGGTATTTGTAAATGTGTAGATGAAACAAAGAAATTGAGATAATTAGCAGAAACAAAATAATTAAAGAGTCCCAATCGGAAAAAGGTACAGTACCTGCTCGCTCGTTCACGATAGTTGATATCTAACGTTTGAGCAGATATTTTTCCAAGCAATACTTCCTAAATAGCCAATAAATAACACCAATTCTTAACTTTCCGAAAAAATTGACAACCTGAAAGCTTTTGAGTGCAGACAGCGAAAGTTCGGCGTTATGGTAGCACGAGGCCCATTCGAGATACGACAGCAGCGCTTCCCATGCTGATCCAAAATCTTCTGAACAGGATCTGATTCAAATTCACTCCCCAGCCATGTCAGCCGTTACTTTTTAGGACCCTTTTGAATATAAGCTGATATAAGCTTTAAACATACCTAAGGCCAACAGAGCCTTGCGCTGAGCAACGAATATCTTTGATGCCGCCGATAGTGTGTGTATACAGGTCTTCAGTCCATTGCTTCTGCTGTGTATCCCGGGAATGGTGCATTAGAAGCACTCCGCTTGCACGCTCCGTCGATGCACTCCGGGTCTGCACCCGAACTCGATCCAACAAGGGCATGATGATCTTTAAAAAATGTGCTTGATCAGGATTTCAATGCATAATTCAGAAACATCGGCCGAACTACTACTCTGCTGGAAAACATGAAGGGGCATGATTAATCAAACACCAAATTGTGAAAGCTTAGTCACAATGCCACAATAGTAAGTAGATTAGTTTGATTCAACTTGTTTCTATGATAAACATAATAACCTCATCCTATGGCACCTGCACTTACTGTGCAAAAAGATCTGAAGGCAAGCTCAGGTGAGACAGTAGAGTTTGAAAAGCTACTTCCGCTGTAACTGACAAAGTCATCTCCGTCTGCCATTAGAAATCTTCAAAATCAACTGCAGCGTATTCCAAGTGCAAGTGAAAACATCGACTGTATTTGTAGAATTTTGCTAATGCCGGGACAAGCGAGTGCATTGTAGTGTACTGCTTTTGTCGTAATGTTCCTCGTACATTAATCTTGCCGACATTTCTCATTACCTGCCATATCATAATTGATATCCTACGTACCCTGATTTCCGCAAGCACAATGACCGTGAAGGCACGTTTGACAGAACGATTTGCAGGGCACTGATTTCCGAACTTGATGTGACATCGTACGCATAATTCGCGAAAGCAACGTGTCTAGCAACCAAACCAAGACTGAATGGTACATGTTTATAGACAGATACGGTCAAGATTTAAGATGGAGAAAGAGAAGACAATGGAATATCCGAGCCCAAAGATAAATTGAGAATGGTTATTCCTTTTCAGAGGATCGGCACTCAAACGACTTTCGCTTTGCGCAAAGGCACCCAAAGTCTGGAAATTCGTCCATCCTGGAAAAGAGACCAAATACGACAGAAGTTATCAGAAAATCCTAATTGACTGTCCCTTGAAAATGACACACCTAATGAGTAAGATGCTGACAACGAAATGTTGTGATCAGCTGTTTGTTTCCCATATCGTGCCACGGCTTCAACCAGCACAGAAATACACTCAAATGGAAGTGACGGAAGAAAGTCCGCAGCAACCAGTCTCAGACCGAGATAGCCCTGCCGCACCAATGCTTCGTCACAGCTGAATTTTTTAGATCAATGCTATTCAATAGTTAATTATAATTACTTCGAATGGAGGTTAAAAGTAATCTTCAAGAATGGCAATCGTGAACCATAAACGACTCAGACTGGAAGTAACTTCCAAAAAGTTTGTAATCGAAAGAATAGTCAACAATGGGTGTGTTCCAGTACCACTAAAAATGCAGCAAACATGCGATTTCTGAGCGGTCTTCGCAATATTCGCCGCATTTAAAGCACATTGTTTGTGGAGCGGAAATAAAAAACTGGGAGCGAGCTCGAAATTCTTCATTGAGCCGCATATCAACTACAGTTTCCCGCTGAGACCTGTAAGCTGTCGACACAACCCTCCGACTAATCAAATATTATTAGGCATTATATTGCAAAATGAGGTGAGGCCGAATTCAGGCAAACTTTCAGTTTTGTGTTCGCGTTCCGCCTTTTCTCCATTTTTATGGCTTAGCACGCACCACCTCAAAGTTGCCATTTACGTATAATCACACCTATTCTATAGCAATTGAATGGCTGCGCCTCCACTGTTCTTACCATGGATTTATAAACTTCAGGAGGCATACACGTACCAGTTTTCTTCATCAACGACAGCAGCAACTATGAAAATAACATGCTGCCACATCTCGGGCACGAGTTGGGCGCCATCTGTTTGTAGAAGTGCCATCAAACAGTCAAGCTGACGTCGTTGCACGTCCGCTTGATGAATTGAGCACATCGAACGTAATGTTTTGAGAGTGATTGACTGGTGCTCCTGGAAAAGAAGAACTTGGCAGGTTTCGTGTGCAAGAGGCAGCGGACATACCGCTTCTGATAAGCCAGTCTTTGCCTTAAACGCCTGCTTGATGATGCTTGACAGTGCGACAGCTGCCCACTCACGCAGTGATGGTGATATATGACCGCAGACCTGAAAACACTAATCTCAGACTGCCACATAGTCAGTGCGGTTCTAGCCCTAGTACTATAGTCAAAGTAAAAAGTAATAGTGGCGTCTCGACGTACCTTGATGAAATGTGCTGTGACGCGATCCCAAAAGACTTGTTGACGCTGAAGATTAAGAGATGCAAATCGAAGCAGCATCGCCAAAGGGAAAAGCGAACATTCTCTGCCAGTCGCTGCCACAGCAACATTTTCGTCAGATATTCTGTAAATGTTACAGTTACTAAACTCAAAAGATACATAAAAAATAACAAGTGATAAGGAGAGTTTAACATAGTAAAGAAAAATCCTAACAAGAAATACGCTACCGCTGGAATTTTCAGAAGTAGAGGTCGGGAGAAGTTCACCATCGCCGTCAAGAGCCCCCGAAAATGCTAAACTTCAAAGTGAACAGCAATTGCGGCCGATCCCTAGTCAAACGTAAAAAGATGTCGAGTAAGAGCCTCATGCAGCTCCACGGTCGGAAATGGTGAAGAAATCTCCATGACTTATTAATTTTTCATGCGGTATGGTAATTTTTCCATTTTCAGCATATTTTTGTGACATATTAACAGATCTGCATTACAGCTACCCCCTTTTTAGAGCAGTTCTGGTGGGAAGAAACACAATTTTAGAGGATTTCTTATACATATTTTGCTGAGGGAGTGCTCATTTGGTTCCTGTTCCTTTTTCTACTGAAATTTTCTTGATACCTTTGCGGTTCAAACTGACCACGAAGTGATAGAAAAAAAAAACCAAAAACAAAAACAGAAAACAAGCAAAACAAAAAATGGATACTGATGTACACATATCAAAAAACGAGTTTCGAAGCTGCGCACCTCATCATTGCTTCAATAGCTTTAAGAAGTGAAGCATTCGATAGCGATACGGAGGAACAAGCAACCTTATCCAGAAGAGATGCCTGAAAATTTCTAGTGAGCATTGCTCGCAAGGTTTAAACGTTAGGTTTAAAAAACGACCAAGGGCAATAAAAAATGAAAATCTTACAAGAATCGGAATTTTAGAAAGGGCGGCCGTTGTTATCACATTCGCACTATCTGAAATGAAGATTCTTGACACTGCAAAAAAATACAGTCACGAAGTTCTGAGTAGACTGCAGATTCTTTGATAAAAATCGAATATCGGTGATACCGCTTCGCCTTTCTTTTACAACTGTGTGAAGCAACCTTTAACATCGAAGCACAGACTTCACAATAACGAAACATACTTTGTTGATCCACTTCTGCCTTTTCTCGTGCAAAAATACCCGTGCAAGATGGCCGAATTCCGAGCAACCAAGCAATATGTTGGCACGTCAACAGACTCAAATGCCTAGAAAGGCAGAAACTGACACAGCAAGAAAAAAATCATAAGACACTTTCTTGCAATCATACCAGAGTTCGTCCAAGTATGTGGCGTGGGCACAGATGGAGCTGAGGAGAATGGATGATGCTTGCAGATTGCGTGACGTCAACTGTAAAATGAGCTTCTTCCATTGCTAGCACAAAACGAATGACGAAAAAAATTGCGTGAAGTGAAGGGACTCACCATAACTTGATCATTCCATTTATCTGGCACTACGACAGACGAGGGGCAAGGGGTGCCAGAAACAACAACCTCGTGCAGTGCTGAAGACGAATCAAACACGAAGTCTTCAGTTGTTCTTAATTTAACAGATGGGCTGAGAAAACGCGAATAAAAAAAATTCAATGAAGAAAGAGAAACAGAGCTAGTGTTTAGGCCAGAGTAGGCTCTGAAATCACTATAATTGAAAAATACGTACTCAAAATGACTGACGGGGTTTTGAAAAGATGATTGTCAGCGCCTTTAAGATGCGTGCCCCACCAAAACAGCGTCGTAGTTCAGGCGCTACTTTCGAGAAGTGAAAATTGACTTTTTCACTAGCAATTTTTAGGGCACAATCAGCATAAGACTTCGGTACAGCGATCGTTGAAATGAATTGCTGCTGAGTCGCCTTTTTTGCAAATGACTACCTAATAAGGTAGATCTTAAACAACAAAGGGACCTCTCCTTTCAAGGCAAAGTGCGTAGAGACAACAAAAAAAAAGCCCGAAAGCAAGGTCAAATTATCGCTCAGCTTTGTCGATAAGACCTCTTCTTGTTTAGCATAAAATGGGCTTAACAATTGACGACTGCACGTATTTCAGGATTAATCTATTTGTTTCTAACAACCCATCACCAGAACTCCATAAAAAACATACAAACCCCATTGAATTAGTGTGCTATATCTTTTGCCTGTGACATGTGCCTCTGCATAGGATATATTTGAATTTCAATTTGGATGGCTAGAGCGGCCTGTCCTGTGCAATGATATGTGGGAGCTGCCACAGATCAACGTTTTCACTCTCACAATCAGACAGCATTCAACCAAAAATGGCAGGAGATGTGGGAAGGTTTTCTTGTCCAACGACCAATGTCAATGGCGGAGCGGATGCCACACAGACTACACGCAACCCTGCCTCTTTTGAGGACAAATTTATGAAATTTTGTTGAAATCAAAGAGAAGTTCAAAAGAACTCACGCTCACTAGTTGGCGTCTCCGCTCCTGCATACGAACGCAAGTACGTCACAGATGGTAGGCAAGCACAGCAGAGAACGTACAAACAATTCAAACTGGCAGGAATCACTTTTAATTTGCACCCAACTGACATTAGCGTTGACAGCGCACACAGAAGCTGATCCGTCACAGTTTCGTCAGTGCTTAAAACACATCACAATATCTCCGAAGCAAAACATTCGCACTTTGTAAAAGCCATTCTTCCGGAATTTGAGCTTTAACATTGCTCACAATATGAAAGAACTGAATTCCTACTATACCTCGCTGATAACAAAAGGCTCAATGCTGCCAGCAGATTCGGTTGACATCGTATAACTTCGTAGGCAGCAACATGCTCGTTGTTTATTCTTATCCCCGTTTTCTGAAAGAACCTCACATAAGAACATGTTAACCAATGAAACGAATATCTCACCTTGTAAGCTAAGTGCGTCTACAGCCGCGTAGACGGCTTGCACAAAATCAACCAGAGCGCAGTTTGCTCGCGATACTACATATCCTTCCGGCAGAACGCCCGCCCTCGTGTCTTTCCAGGCTGTCCAGTCTGAAAACGAATACTATAACATTGACACTGACACATTGAAATTTTAATTTTGGCTTTATTAGTTTTATTTTTTTTTGTTATCATCCTGTGAAAAAAGAGTAACATAAATAAGCGCGGAGCTCAGTGGATGACAAGATATATTGCTCTGTTAAAACAAGCCAAAATGCTTCTATCGTCCACCGTTGCGAGAGTTTAAATTGAATTCTAATCTCCCCCTGCTTGCTTTCACCTCCTTACTTTACTTTTGAACCACTGGATATCTACTGCACCATTGATCATGGCAGAAACTGTTTTGCTCTCTATAAGCGTTTCAAATTTAACGACCGGTCCCATGTGGTCGAATGCTAAAACGCGCGATGGCGACGCGCGTGTCGTCAGTGAGTGAAAAGGGCAGAGAGATCTAGGATAAAGCGTCTTATGAACGTACAGAATGGATTTCTTCGCGGACAAATGCTCAACATATGGATGCCAAACATTGTTGAAATAGAATCCAGACGATCCTCTTGGTTGAAGTATGTCGGGGTCCATATCAGCCTCTACTGAAAACGAAAAAAAATCATGTTTGAAGGAAAATTCAAATTCCTCATGAAGACAACATTGGCCTATTTGTGTGTAATAAGTATTGCCGATCTTACCGGAACTCATCTTTGAAGACGCAAAACTTTGCTGAATAACACAGAAAATACTATGCGACAGATGTTCCAAAACTTTGATAGAGTTCGATCTTGCATCGAAATTTTCACATAGCCACCTAGGCAAATATTTGAATATTATAATATTAGCGAGTATTGAAGCACAAGTGCCTGACATAACATACCTGACAATGTCTGGTCTCACCACAACTCTATGAAGCGCTTCTAGAGAAAGCGCCCGTTGCCATCCTCTGCGATCTACATCCACGAACTTGATTAGGGATGACAGAAAAATCTCACATTCCGTGGGCTAAATCCATAAAAAATAACTGAGATAGCAGGCATAAGCAAATTGTGCACAGAAAGGAGCACTTACAAGCAACTGATGATAGAGTGAGATCAAGCACAGAATTATTCGAACAAGTCGCATAGCAATGGGAAAGTACGGTCGATCTGTCGGAGAGCCCACACCGGTGGATGAACGAGATGACGGATGTTGAGATGACACCTGAACATCAACCAATCATGGGAACAATTAGTGTTCATGTCGTATATGAAGCAATAATTCCATTCTACATGTATGGCGTATAAGCGAAACGTCCTTAGATAAAAGAAAAAAATCAAAATTGCAGCAAAACAAAAACACAAAAACTAGCCAATAAACGTACGTGGGCTGATTTCAAACTTGGAGAGAACAACTTGATTACTAGTGGGCACACTTCGGACTTCAGAAGATCACAGAACTCTGGGTGCTGAAAAATGCTCAAATTAAGAACCAAAATCAATGTATTACATATCATAAAATCGACGAAAAATATTAGCCTCTTACTCTGAAAAATACTCCTGGATAACTTTTCAGGATATTCTCTATGAGTTCTAAACCGAAGAGTTCCTTGTCATTTCATGAATTCCTACCAGCCATACACTTGGCTTTGCGTTAATCAGCAAGCAAAGATCCTGCAATGTAATCTATCAACTGCCGCGGATCGAGAATTTAGTATGCAAATACCTTGAAACAGCAAGTAGGCGTCAGCTGCACATGGCCGCAATGTCGGTGGGGCAGATCTTGGCGATGGACGTCCTCCAGAAGAAGGTACCACTGTCAACTCGGTGCTGAACACACCATCCTCCTAAATCCAAGAATATTACGCAAGCACATCCATGAGCGGGCAGGTTTACAGCAAAATTATATCAAGTATATGGCAACGTAAAAATAAAAGACTCACTTGTATGACACGCTCGAAGACACATCCCACCAGCTGTCGCACAGCAGCTGAAGCTGCATTGATAACTACAGGATCCTTGGCAAAATGCATACGAAAGCACATGACAATGCACTAGAGCAAGCAAGTAAGAGCTGACGGTAAACGCATCCAAGTGGTGGTGAAAGAAATACAAAAAACAAGGAGAAAATTCGAAAAAAAAAATATTTTGGGACCCAACTAGCCACTTACCTTCCTTAGGGCAGGGCTATACACGATTTTAGTAAAAAAAAATTCGACAACATGATTGCATTTGTCAAAAATGGATATAAGGGCAACTGAATCTGCTCTACAATCATTTGTTGTTGGATCAGTTCTCACCTTTGCAAGAGTGTTTCCCGTGACGAGCAGATCAGCGGAGACCAGTGGAGGAACAGTTTGCAAAACTCGAAGCTCCTCACATTCCACTTCAACCAGACCACAATTCGCTGACAACAACATTTGCGCAACTCTAAAATTTAAACACACTAATCTTGGGCGACATGAAAAAGGAAGTTAGCTGTTGCCGTCACATGTTGTGGAAAATGAACAGAAAAAAAAACTATAGATTCTCACCGCTTCTAGAATACGATGTTGAACTAAACGTTGTATGCTCTGCAAGGCTATCTGAACAAGTCGCGTTTGTCGAGTAGCACAGGCAAGAATGAGAGGATGAAGCAATTCATTGCTGGCTGCTCGCAGATTTGTGAGAAGTGTTGCTTCTCCAGATGCTGTGCTTATATTTCGAACACGAACGACACCTGATTCAGCTGCCTAAATCACTGAACTGGTAAAGCCTATAAGACGATGACATTTATAGAATATGAAAATGATAACCTCATTCAGAACAATCAAGAAAACTGCATCTGAATACAAACGCCGCGTTAGCTACCGTGCTTGCATATATGAATGTAAAATGATGACATGAGTGAGTGCTGTCGAAGAGAATTGAATAATATTAATTAAAAACTAGACAAATTGGAACAAATGGAAATAAATTGAATTTTATTTTAACAGCACCTCCATATCGAATATGTCTATCCACCCCTTACGCGTAGTTACAGAGTGAGATCAAATGTTGTAACTGAATGAATTCCCAATCCATGTAGGAAAACATCCCATGTTACTGAACCACCCACCTCTTTCACATGATTATGCTTCTTTTTGGCTTCCGTGGAGAGTTGTCGTAAATCACTGAGGAGAGCTTCAACGAGTTTTCTAACATCCGGTGGTGACAACACCGACATTACGACATATGAAAGTCTACAAAAATAATAAGAGTCATATAAGCAAACGGAATAATTCATTCCCAAACTTTCAAGTAGTTTGAACCAACAATCAATCAGTCATCAGCAGCAATCGCGAGAAAATGGAAATCTTCATTGCTATGCGTATTATAACAAGACAGATGACAGATTATGAGATCAGATCGATTACGACAAGAGAAGTGATATAGCATTATTATTTCTAATGTTAGCATCAGAAGCTGTCGACTAGGGAAATATTCTACACGGAGTAGACAAAGAACACGTTTGCTTGAGAAAAGACATTTATGGACAACCAAAGGAAAATGAAGGATTTGCTTCTGACATAAACAGAAATTGCGACATTGAAAGAAATATCACAGCTTATAGAGAACTTAAACTGGATTTGGTTTGTGAATACAAATTACAATACCCAGAAGAAGAAAGGCTACGAAATCAGCATAAACTACATGTTTTCTATAACAATTTGAGCTGGTTTTGAAGCGAGCAAACCAATCACATTTTCAGGAATCCAATGATGAAAGTGTGCAATCAGCCGCTGCACTCCTAACACACTTGCAGAAAATGCCTGCAATTGAAGACAATTACACGAGAATGATTAAAAACTCGAGATTCTAACGAAGCCTGATAAAAATTAAACTGCCGTCAGTTGCAATTTAATGTGAGCCTTTCGGCCCTGGAAGTGTCGACTGCTTTCACGCAACGCACAGATCTGCACTACCGGCGCAACAATACATATTAGATTGTTTGGAGTAATTCCGCCGTTTTTATATCTCACTATTAAACGCTTCACTTCTAAATCACTTTTAAGAAACTGCCTTCACTTCCTGTATCAATAGAATGCGCGTTTCTCACTGTCTGAATTCACTGTTACTTGAACCATGAAACACTTTGCCCCTAACAGGCTGTTATGTGCGAGTTTCTTGTTTCCTCGCAAATATGGTCGGAAAGTGCTGAAGCAAATCGGGATATCAACTGAGCATTTGGTCCCGAATCCACAAAAACTCGGTGTGGTCGTGATTCAAATGTCTTTCTCGCGATGATAAAAGCTTCGAAGAAGATTAGGGTGAAGGTCGGATATCGGAGAGTGACAAATATGGACTTAGGGTGTTGATCAAGCCAAATCTGCATGGAGTATTGAACAGGCCACTTCTTAATTAGGCGTGACTGAGATGGGGTTCCCAAATATACAGGTGTCCAAAGAATGCGCAACAAGTCGTCAGGGTGGTGCTGCCGACTCTTTTCCCCACAAATGCACAGCCCCATCTTGTGCACAAGTTGAAATCCCGAGCCTAAACAAACTGCGCTGCAACATCTTTGGCATCAGCAGAACCTCTTGACTTAGCCAACGTGTCATTTTTCCAAGATGGCCTCTACAAGAGATCAGACACTAGACCCGAGAATTATTGCTGAAAACGACCTTGTGCCGCTTCTTCCCCACTACAAGACTACACGGCACTTTACAAGCGTCCAGAAGTCTTCCAAGCAGCACCACACAGCTTTCTTCTCGCGCCTTGCGTGGCTTTTAGTTCTTCGCAGAAATGCTTAAAGGAGCCACATGAATATAATAATATAGAAATATATGCAAGGTGTCCCAAAATCAAGCGGAAACTTTCTGAACAAGCCAATACTATTAATCGCAATTAGAGGTCGCTTCAAACCACCTTTCCTTCCGAAATTTGACTTGCACTTGTCATTTTAAAACGTGTTGGGGGAAATAAAAGCAACTAAAATAGAAAATTTTCCTTGAAAACATTATAATTCAGGGCTAGAAGGGTCAAAGCAAAACTACCAGATCAAACTTATTGGGTCACACGCCCCCACACCGTTCGAGTGATGAACTTGTGGATGGTCGAGCTAAGATGAAAAAGAACAAAGCAAAGAATCGTCGGTGAAGCTATCAACAAGTATTACCTCCTCTTCCCCTTGAAATAAGGGAAGGGCGGGGTCGAATGAGCTGTATAAAGCTCTGCGCCTTGCCTCCACAGTTCCCTAACCGGTCCTGCGTATTCAAACTAGCCGATACACCGACGATAAGGGTCATAGGGTGTGTGCAAGGTAACTTCTGGCCTCGTTCATAGTAGCTGCCATAAGTTGCCATAAGTTCACTTTGCCACAGTTTCTGTTTCTAGCGCCAATTTCGCGCGCTAAATTCAGGTGACATAGCGGACCCTCTGTATACCCAAGCGGCTTTCATCCAACCACACTGCGATAGAATTCCCGATGGGCTGCTTTATAAAGAACTCTTACAATATGGCAAGAATAAGGATTATGGGCAAACACTTCGCTTCAAATAGAATCGAGCATTATCTATCACTTCCCGGCAGCCGCCCTAACGATCTCACCATCAGAGATAATAGCAAAGTGGCCAGAAAGCGCTGGTTGTTCGAAAGAACGCAACAGTCTATACAGTAGAATGACTGTAAGAGTCAAACTAAAGCCCGATTATATGCTTTGCAAATACCAGCCAAGCTAAAAGAAAGAAGGAAATCACTACTAAGGTAGTTTAATGAAAAGACTTACAAAATGGATTGGCTTCAAAAGTACTTGTCGGATAATGGTGAACTAGAAGAGCGATGGTGCAAACAGCCAGACAGGACAACGTTTGTAGTAATGCCCACACCGGACTCTCCTTTTTCGGGAACACCGAAACTTCATGGCCATGCTAACTTAACATTGAAATACACTGCGGCGACATTGTTCAATGACCTGCTCATAATGGCCGTATTCTGCAAAATTATGACTGTGTAAATAGAATAATCAGGCTATTAGTGTAGGTTTTATTGCTAGGCAGAGCTCAAAAGTTATGCTGGGCGAATCAAGGCGTTATCACTTGATTGTTGTAGTTATCATGCCCGCCAGACTATGGTTCACTGCATGCTTGGCTGCATTCATGCCATCAACCGCAGTCTTCTTGAAAAAAGAAAGAGTGATCTATTGAGAAATCCAAAGGGTCGGATCTCTAGGAATTCTATAAATCGGAGATGCGGAATGTAGAATGAAAAACAACGTAAAGGAAGAGTTTCAACAGCCGCGGAGCCTACATCCCAAAAAGAAAATGAAATTACTAACAATTCCATCAGCTTCTCTCCTCACAAGTAAAAAAAGGCACTGGAGGCATACCAGGTTGCATCTATTTTGAACTGGTTCCTTATTGAGCAAAGAGAAGAAAGACGTTGAAATAACATTCTTTTGGTGTTTACAAAGTATTCCCTGTAAAATTACCAATTCTAACTGACACTTACCAGGGAGGAGCTCTCTGTCAGCCGACTCAAGTTGTGGTGAATATGGATAGCAATATCCACTCATTGAAAACCGTGACGCAAAATCTGAAAACTAGTCAATAGCCATGTTCGATCAATGTATGCACTATGCAGAAGCAGCAATTGACAATGTTCCGGGTTGCTCCCACCTCCTTTCCACGTATACTGCAAAAGCTGAAGAGCACCATCAATCCGCTTCCAGTGTTGTATGTGAAAGAAAGCGTAAGCAATAGCTTCCGAATCTCCACGTTTCAAATAATGTTCCGGAGGAAGAATCATGGGGCGTAATTCTGAAAAGGTATAAACATGGAAAATTCACTACAAATAAAACGGTTTGTGACATACCAAGCAAGTAAAGAGGCACATGGGGATTGAACTCTATCGCTCTAGTTATAGCTTCAATTGCTGTTGCCTCTGCCGATGACAGACCTCGCCTTGTCGAAATATCCGCAACAAACCTTCAAATTAAGACGTTCATTAGAGAGTAACCTAGAGTTATATATAAGAGTTGAAAAGAAAGAAACAATAGATACTTGTCAGCAACAGCCCGTGCTTTCAGAAGTGCAGATGTGTAGCTCAGCACCGCAGATCTTGGTTCCCGTAGATCTACAGAACAAGATGTTATATGTAGCTTTCAAAAGGCCGCATCCTCTACTACTCACCAAAGCCATCATAACGAACAAGAAGAGCTTGCACATCAGCGTACGCTTGCATTTCCAAACAAGCTTCGATGAGATTCTCTTGAACGCCTAGTATGTTACTCATGGAGCCATCCCTAATAATCTGAAGAAAAAGGAATTCATAGAAATAGCAAAAGGCCAAAAAAGAACATCAACACATACATCCTTGAAGGTTTTGATAGCTTCACGTACTCGTCCCTGCTTCCGTGCACACATAGCAAGTCGACGTCGAATGTATATTTGCATGTGAAAATCACGGCCTATAAAGTCGAAGACATGAGAATCGTCAAACGACTATTCTTTGAAAATAACGCACGTCGCCCTTGACGATACATATCTCCAGAGCGTTCATGTGGAACTATCTGCCCAGACTGCGACTGGCCAAGACTGCTGTCAACTGCTTTCAACGCGCGTCTGAATACAAAAAAAAATCCTCATAAAATAGTTGCCATAGAAAGATCAATTATCCAGTCCTGACCGGTTGAAATGAGATGAATACCTATATACATGGAAGAGATACTTCTTAGATATTTCTGAAGTAAAACAAAAGCAGACTTGCAAGAGTAGATCCCGCGAGCTCTTGCCTGTGAGTTGGTCATTACCGCTGCGTTTTCTGGGGCCGTAAGGTATGCTTCCCCGAATGGTTGCGGGGACGAAAGTCCCTTTTAAATTTTTTGTTTTGAACGATACTGTTTCTTTATTTTCAATGCATGCTTACTTTAAGCTACACACATATATTAGATGTAGGCCCTTTATCAGGACAATCCCAGTTGGGACTACAGAGAAAATTTAAAGGAACTTTCGTCCCCTAACCCTTCGGGGAAGCATACCTTATGGCCCCTGCTTCATAACATCGTTTACGAACGGTTCCGTACATTACAATGGCAGATTTGAACTTAGTGCCTCAAGGCACGTATATGGGTAAGCATCTCATTTTAAATGACCAGACTGACCAATTGACATTTACTTGTTAGTAAAATGTGTCACTCCGTCAACTGCTCATGCAAAACCCCACAGGGAAGGATAAATGGTTAAGTTACCTCAGCATGACTTCTGCTTCGGTTATCGTCTCGCATTGCTCTTCTGCTAACAGGATAAGAGCTGGTGCACACGTCGGATTTATGTGTAAAGCTTCACGAGCAGCATTTATTCGTGATGCGCTATCTCGTTCGCGCCAGGCAACTTGCATGACTAAAACACTACCATAAAAATGGCAAAATGTGGATACATTCTGATGGATCTCCATTATGGTCACTCATGCTATCAAGAAGATCCTGCTGTGCACTAGGATAACCGCTAAGGAAACGTAACTATCACGTAAAAGCTGATAAAAAACAGTAAATTGTCCAACAAGATCTTGACATCAAAACCACTGCGAGGAAGATGGCAAAACAAGGAGATGAAGAAGCCAGACGCACGAGAAAATGACAATAACGATAAAAGAAGAATGAAAAGGGCGCATCTATAGGCATACCAGTGAATTAAAACGGTGTTTGTCATTTTTTACACAGAATGACAAACAGTAGACCCGATAAAAATTGTGAGAATATATTGAAACTGGCTCAGATTGGTTAGCTACTAAATTTTGGAGACCATGTGATCAAAATTATGCTCAAAGAAGTGCATAACGCAGAGTGAATAAGGCTACCAGTACTTGTGGGAAATGCGTGAATCAGCATTGACTTAAGGGAGCGGGGGAATGAGCATTCATAAAAGGTTGCAAGAAGTCAAAATGCTCTGAAATATGTGTGTGGTTCATATGGGTATCCTATATGAATCACAAAATCACATACATATTTCAGAGCATCCCATATATCGAATTAACACAATGCACTTACTATCATAATCCGGTCTTCCGACGTCCTCATCACATGTGAAGAAGCTTTGGTGGTCTTGCGCCGAAAGATTCATATCGTAATATGTAAGCGGATCAAGATTCATAACAGTTTTCACGCGGTTATATTCTGCACCACGGAACAAAGCCATCGGGTTACGCCATACTTTGCATTCTGAAATCGAAAGCCAAAAATGAAATGAAGAGATATGTCACCATCATTCAAATGCCACCTTTCAACCAATTCAAAAGAAAAAAAATAGAGATAGATTTCTACAAACGTTCGGTTATAAAAACTATGGTTTTGTTTGGTTTTGATTTAAGCTAACGATCAAAGGATGCGCCTCAGTGACAAGGATATACAAATTTGGCACACGAAAAAGGATTACCTGGTATTGCTTTCTGATTTTCTAACGCGTCCTCATTATCGCTACCATCCTCGCTTACGGAATCTACCGCGTTACTGCAAACACAAAGGATAAAAAATGGTAGAACAAAGCTCAGCCTAAAGTCAACACTCACTTTTTAAAGTACCACCATTCGAAGATCAATATAATTCCAGACACGAGACTAGAAGTACCCGTCAGGGCAACGTAGAATTTCGGAGTTAAATTATTGAAGTACGACGAGGCTGAAACATACAGAATGAAAGGGTAAGCAAAGTAGATGTTTAGTGAACGTAAAAGTGCACAGTTGCTATCACAAGACGTGTTACGGCCACACTTCGCTGCCATTGGATCCTAGCTCCGCCTACATCTGAGTGCGCACCGCCCACCACTAGAATTTAACCTTCCCGCGTAAATTAACATAAAACCTCTTCGTTTCTGGTCTACAGGCTCTCTCCAACCACAATTTGATGTTCGGATTTTAGCACCACCTTTCTGGCGAACGCCTCCTTTGTCCAAGCCTACATCATTCCTCTAGTCATTCATGACCAATAACCATTCATTCTAGAGGTTCCCAATCTCCAGGCAGTTCTATTATGAAGTTCTGGATTACGTGACTACTTGAACTCTCCCCTATGTTCTCTGCCGCGAAAGGCCAGAGCACAGACGATTAGAGAACGGCGCCTGGCTCGGCTCCAAATCCCAAGAAGGAAGGTGAGAGCTCTAGGACTAAGCCTTGGAGGGAGGAGGGACTCCGGAGTGGGTGAGCCAATTACATGTGGCAAAGTTTGAATGTGTCAGATCACAGTAATCATAAGCCGCTGTTTAAGCGAGAGAGCGCAGGCGAGAGCATCAAATCGAGCGGTTTAAAGGACTGAGTTCAAGTTGTCCGTGACCGAAGTTCTGACACAAACATCATCCACTGAATGGCATGCTCTACCCGCTGGGGTGGTACCCCACTCGCTTCGAGGTTGATGCATCTAATTGTTGAAGCGGTGTTTCTGCCATCCAAGCTGGCTAAGAAACGAGAGTCATGGATCTGTGTCGTACGTACAGCTCACGTAGCGAACGCCACCCACTGTGCGATAGTACTTTCGTGATGATCACCCCATGCTGGGTTGCTTTGAAACCGATTTTGCAAAGTTTTTGTTTCCGGCGCCTAACCGTTTTGATAAATGAACCACCTACGAGCATCTCTGCTTAGTTTATATCTCCTTCGTGCTTCTTGACCAATGTCTGACCAAACCCATTCATGCCCCTGGCTCTCCACGCGCACAGTTTGATAAGCAACCGTGAACAAACTTCGATCCAGCTCACCCGAACAAACCAAAAAATCACATTCCTTAGACAACGTTATCTACCAGTCCCATCGGGGAGAGTAAAAAAAACTTGCAGATCTAGCCGCAGCCGCACAAGCAGTAGTATTCTTAATCGCTTGAAATGCCACTATGCTTCTGCAGGGCAACAGACTGCGTGGCACATCTCAGAAACAATTCGCTTATGCCAAATTCTTTCCCCTCTCGCTACTGTGGACGTAACACGCTATGTGATGGCAGCAATAATTTGGGTTGATGCAAATATTGACTAAGCTGGAAGTGCATTTCGGATTAACCATCACTCGCAATCCATGTACCAGAAATGAAACCCAGAAATGATGACGATGTTACAGAATTCAGACTATATAAATTAGGCAGAGTTCATATTCTGCTCCGCAACGCGTGCAGCAGCGCCAGTCGCCAAAGGCTATGCTTAACAAAGTTGAACTTTCTGAACCTTTCTGCTAATTTTTCTACTGCTTTTTCAATATGAATCAGCTGTGTATGCGCTTCGAATATGGGTAAGCCATAATCATCGACGCACAGCTGTGCAGGACCAAGGATGCGCTAAACAAATTAAATGATTGTGCTGGATTGATTTCGCAGTGCCACGTCAGTACTTCATACATTTTTGAACTTAAACTTTTTTGAAGAGCCACTCTTCCAGAAAGTGGTCCCGTTGCTCCGTTTTTTTTCCCTGTATGGGTTTTTGGTCCATTCTCCAAAAATGCAGATTTTACCCTTTAAATGCCTATTTTCATCTCATTGCCAGCTCAAAATTTACTATGTTTACCGTTAACGCAGAATCTAATAAGCACTGATTGTGGAGCTTGCGCGTGGACAGGCGTGGCGTGGAGCTTGCGTCGCGTCTGATTAAGATATAAACACAGCCTCACATGTGATCTCCCTCCTTCTAATCCCACATATGGCCACTGGATCAACCCGGGTGTGTTTCGCTAGGACAGAAGGCGGTTTTTTTTCGCTTTCACGGCGAGAAACTTTTTTCCCTGCGAGAACCTCAAGTTCACCGTTGATTGGTGGTGAACGTGGGGTCTCGCATCGAGAGACGTTCGTGCTGGCGAGAGCGGAAAAGTCACTTTCTTCCCAGCGAACCACTAGTCAACCTTGATATTTCATACCAGTCTTCACAGAGATCTCAATAATCAAACAATATCAGTACCAGCTCCGAAAGTTAACCAGTTTTCGAAACCATTTCAACGATGATTTTGTGTGAACACATAGGGGTGTGATCCACAGGGACAGAAGCGACTTTTTCGCGTTTCGCAGCGCGAAACATTTTTCGCTGCGGGAACCTCAGGTCCACTCATGATCAGCGGTGGACCTGAGGTTCCCGCAGCGAAAAATGTTTCGCGCTGCGAAACGCGAAAAGTCGCTTTCTGTCCTAGTGAACCACACCCACCACATAGTACCGCTACGATCGTTGTTGACGCTGATGCTACAGTAAAAAAAGAACATCACCACTCTAAAAACGGACTAAGTTCTGAACATTCAACAACGAAAATTTCCATATTTTGCAGAGTAATTGAAGAAGAATATGCGGTCATAAGTGACATAGAAGGAAGTATGCATATTTCAGAAAGCGACCATTACTAGTAGCATTAGAATCAATCCGCTCCCAAAAGGAGCGCCGCGCGATTAGGATCTTCAGCCCACAACAACCAATGGTCATTCATCCCAAAGATGGCCAAGATATTTTTGGCCTTTGAATGGAACACTATGAACATTGAGCCTTCTCGACAATTGTTTCCTTGCTGCCAAATCAAAGCTAGCAAAACAAAAATGAAATGTTTATGAGAGTTTAAAGGTGTTATTGCATCAACCCACTACAGACACACAATTCTAAGCAAGCAACTGAACAATAAAATAGCAAAAAGTGCAAACTGCAATTTAAAAATTGAAGTAGCAGGAAAAGAACTCACAAGTTTCAAGTGAAAACCAACCATTTTCAATGGATTCGGTAATTTTTAGCGGACCTCGCAGGATGTATACAAGAACAATGACGAGAAGGAACCAAAGGGCCCACAAATATGTCCAGGACCACGTCAGCCAACTTTTTACTCTACTCAAAACCATCTAAAATCTGAACTAGATGGTTCTACTTTGACTAAAGTGTGTAAAAATCGCGTTATACACTTCCACAACAAAAACAATCGATCAAAATTACGCAGAACAACACTGTTTAGTTCGAGCTGACCGAATTCGACAGCAATATCCCGTGTTCTGTCTGCGTTACACACACATCATTTGAACTCACGTCAATTCACCTAGACGTCGGATTAAATGCATACGTACCATATTATTAGCTGTGTCTTCGATCAATAATCATCCTTCGCATGGACCCTACATTTGATAATCAGTTATTTGTATTTCTCTACAACATCGTTAAAGTTGTCCACCATTCCACAAGGTAGCAGGATTTTCTCCAGCTCCCGTTAAAAGTATTCGCAACGGGCAGTAGATGTTTAACTCCCGTCACTGTGAGAATGTGACAAAACGCCGAGGGTATACCCATGAATCTTCGAGCATATTCATCATTTTTCCGCATCCCCAATGACTAGGCTTTCTTTCTGGCACAAAGCCAAGCTGACTGCTCGGCGACCGCGCGCGTAAGCTATCTGTGAGCTACATGATCTATCGGATGCGTGTAGGTAGGTGCTTGATTAAAGCACCCTTCACCTCTACGATCACATGACTTATTGTGGTGCAAAATGCAGTCGTGAAAGTGCAAGTTTCGCGATGTATTTCACCACTATGACCTTTAGGTGTACGTAGCCCGATTCCCGATTACGCAATATATTGATTAGGCGCGCGACTTGACACACTGACTTCAGTCAGTACATATTCGAAGTGTAAGGGGTGTCTCGGTAGACGTGCCCCCGCGAGGTGGACGAGTCTGCGTTAGCGGACGAGTTTCCCGGGCGTCTGCCAAGCGTTTTCGGAAATGCCGCGTGTTTTCGTGTCTGCGTCCTCCGCATTCCTTATATTGTTTCCTTCATCTCTCGCTGGAAATATAGAGACGCAGTGGTTGTACCAGTTTTCCTTCGTGTCGTATTGTGTGTGTTGTGTGGTCACTGCTTTCTGAGCCCAATTTCAAGTCTTTCTCTTCTTACTTTTCAAAATCCTGGAAGTCTTTCTTTTTTTTGCTGCCCTGTCTAACCTTACGCTTTTTGGTTTGGTTCCACTCAACCAGGGATATGGTCGCAGTCACACATGAGGAGCTAACAATAAAGCTTGTCTAAAGTTATTCAGCCCAAATCATATTCTCCACATTTCGACTACCTAATAATTCCATTTTTCTACCTCATTTTCAAATGAGCAGTGACTAAGTAACCCTTCAATAACTCATTGGTCTCAAGAAGATTCCAGGACCAAGAACTCTTGTGAAGGGGTAAATTATGGCCACTGCTAGTGTTTCAAGCGCTTTTTGCTTGACCGGGGAATCTTTTGAAACATTTAGAAGGAGTCATTGGTATGGGACAAGTACCAGAAGCATTAAATTTGATACCATCTTTTCGATCTGGAAACGTACTAGTAAAATGTTTATCTGCTATATTCACTGAAGCTCTTTTTGAGCTGGCAAGGGTATTGAGCTTAGTGGAAGCGGTC